CCACACACATTGCATGTCTAAGAGTTTGGGATGAGAAAATGAGGCCCAAACCAAATTGACTCACTTTATTTAGCATAGGGTTGATGGCTTCAATCCCTGTTGTAGAAGAACAACACACAACTTCTTTTAAGTTTCTTAGTCATCAGGAGATGCTGTTGCCAAGAGAAACAAGGAAGGCTTGAATTTAAAGGAGACAGAGGGTAGAGAGTTGTTGGGTTACATTTGAAGAATATTATGGGTGTAAAGTCTAACAGGACTTAGCTACTGGTCTAATGTGAGAGGAGGAAGAAGAAAGTACAGGGCCTGGCCTCAGATTTCTGCCCCGTACACATAAGTGCTCTCTACTGCTACTAGTCAAGAGACAGAATATTGAAGCAAAATCTGAATTGGGTGAGACTGCCAATGATGCATTCAGCTGTGTGAGTGGTGAAATAGAAGTGCCTTGAGACTATGGAGGTCAAAGGGAAGGGGTATAGGAAAGAGTAAGTTCAGAGTGATAGAGTTGGAACTAAGTCAGATGTATATGTTAGGGTCCAATTAGGTAGGGCCAATAAGCCACCACAGCTGGAATCTCAGTGCTGGAATCTCAGTGCTCTTTTAGATGCCTGTGGAACTGTCAGGTAGGCAAGTATGTATACATATATATATGAGCATTTGAAGCTCAAGAGCAGATTCCATTTCCTCAGCTTCATAGAATATTTTAGGTTAATTTTAAAAAGCATTGAACAAATGAGCAGATGTCAGTATATAATATTATTGCCAATAGTTTGTATATAAACCAGCAGCTGGTTGAGAATTAGTTCCAAAGCAGAGAATTGACTTTTTTTCTGGATCTATTTTATATAGTTTTTGATCAATGCATCTCAGTATTTACCTGAGTTGAAATATTCCTCTTAGAGTCATGAATGAATATACCAACATTTGGTTAATGTTAATAGAAATGTTTTGTCATTGTGTTCTGATCCCTGTGCTCAGTTGACAACTGTTCCTTGCAACCGCTACCATATTCCAATTTATTGTATCATACACTTAAAGAGATTTATGATATTCCAGGGCTTTTGCTGGACTTATTTTCTATTAATACTTGTAGATAGGAGACATTTCTTACACTCAGAGCATTTGTACATTGAGGCAGCATGTTCTGTGATAGAAGTTTGAAACTAAAGAAGTCTGAACTATTTTCCCACTTACTTACTAGAAAGTGAAATCTAATTTATCACAGGATAGAACCAGATTTTATTCATTCATATTATCTGAGAGTTTGCCAGAATCCAAGTTGTTATGGCAGAGACATATAATTATTCATTGTAAAGCACAACATCGAGTTTTAGCTGCGGGCTACACTCTTTTCTTTGGGGTAACAAGGCAGCGCATGCTCCCTTCTCACCAATGTGGATCTTACATAAGTGCCATGTCTAAAAATACATTCAAAACAGTATGAGACCCATAGGGATGTGGTGGTTGTTTGTTCCTGGTTTCTTCTGTCAAGCAGAGCATCTTAGAAAAGGAGGTGTTTGAATTGGTCGCATAGCAAGTAAAAAGAAATCAAGCAGTTCTGGATTAGAATCACGATTCTTCTACCCCGTCATTGGTTGGTACCTAATGTTTCAGAGTCTCTATTTGCTCAGTAATATATAAAAAATAGTATCTTCCTTGCAAGGGTCATTGTGAAGACTTTGTTTATTTTCACAGAAGGGCCTACAGATGTCTTTTCTGGCATCATTTTTTGGGGGTGTGTGTGTGTGTTTTAATCAGTGCCTAATAGCACTATATGCACAGAATTATACTGTTCCTGCTGTAGCCGTGAATGAAGACCAGAATGCTCTTTTTCCAGCTGTACTCTGAATTTATTGAATACCTGTTCTGATTATGCAGTGTATGCCAAGTGCCAAGCACAGACTAGAATTTCCTTAATGGATTTGTTCTGGGTCCAAAGTGTAGTGGGCCTGCTTCTTAGAGACTGCTTTATATTCAGCAAACTCCCAGGCTACTATATTGTTAGTTTATAAGGAGAAAAACATCTCATAGGTGGCTACAAGCAGTACTCAAATCTCCATGTCCAATCTGCATGCTCTGTTGTAGAGTCTGTCCTACATAAGTGATCATAAGCAGAGAATGTTTGGAAAGCCTGGAGTCAAACCAAAAATATGCTTCTCAGACTTTTGTTTATAGAGCACCTGAGGCTGACCAACTCACTTTCTGTGTGATACATTTTATAGTCAAGCCTTGCTAACCTTGAACCCATTTTATTGCTCTTCAGTTTAAGTTCTGTGAAGCTGTCATTAATCCTTTTCAAAACAGCTATAATTCTCTTATTCCACTCTGTCATACTCACCTGTCAAAACCTCAGCCCTGGTTAAAACCAACTATTGGTCAGCTTACTTGGCTTTGGCCTTCTCTTTTGTCTTCATTTTATTTGCAGGTGACGTCCAGTCCCGTGTATTTAAATACTTCAGTTGGTCGCTCTGAAATTTCTACCAACAGTGCTGCCCTCTCCTGAGCTCCAAACTTATATCCAAATGTCTCCTTGATGGTTCATGTTGGAAGACTTTACGGTCAAACACGTGTACAGGATTAACATGACTTTATTTTTTTTGCCACGCCTGCCTCTTATGTTTGCCTATTTATTCCATCTAAAACTCTAGTTTTCCTGTATTCTTCACTTTCCGTTTGTCTTGCATATAATATCCAAATGTCCCAAAAGTGCCCTTTTCTCTCGTTCACCACTACGTTGGGGTCCATGCCACTAGTGGTTCTTCTTGGTCTGTTACAGTGACCTGACTGGTCTTTCTGCTTTCACTCCTACACACTCCCCCAACCCTCTGTGTGCAAGAGCAGAGCGAACTTTTTAAAATAAAAGTCACATGCCTTAGGTAATCCTCCCATGTCCCACTCTCTTGGCTCATTGAATTCCTGTCTTCAGGAATCTTGTCCACTACCTTACCTCAGCCTCTCACTCTGGTCTTACTCATTTCCAGTAATCGAACCCCCTCCCTAATTGTGTGTATCCTTCTCTGACCACAGCTCCTGTCTTTCCAGCTCACTTTCTGTAGTATCCCAGATCCAGTAATCCTTGGATCCCACTAGGACCTTCAAGCCACTACAGACAGGCTGTCACCTCCATGATCCACCAAAGTACGCCATGCCCTCCTAGTTCACCGTGTACCTGACTTAGGAGCCACACTTCAACCTGGACCCCTGACTGCTCCCCATCTTCCTGACCCACTGAGATTAGCAGGTTACCTAATCTATCTTCCCTGTCTTGCTAGGCCAGCCAGGACCTCCCCTTGAACTCCACTGGGCCCTTACTGGCGTGCTCGACAGCTCCACTTAGATTTCTTGTATTCTTCTGGCATTCTTTCTGACCTTCACCCACCAACCTGTTCCTCTCACAATTTTTGTCATTTCAGTTTAATGGCAGCTATTAACTATCAGCATATCCTGTTGGTTCTGTGTTTAAAATAAATCCATTGGAGTCTAGTTACTCTTAAAAAAAAAAAAAGAAAGCTAGGATCTGACTACTTCTCACCCTCTTTCTGGTTCTGTACTTGTGCCAACTGTCTCCTCCTGCCTGTATTATTTGGGCTGCCCCGACTTGGTTTCTCCTGCTCCTTTCATACTGTTCATAACACAGTGGCCAGAGTATCCCTGTTAAAACCTCATTCAGGCCGGGCGCGGTGGCTCATGCCTGTAATCCCAGCACTTTGGGAGGCTGAGGCGGGTGGATCACTTGAGGTCAGGAGTTCAAGACCAGCCTGACCAACCTGATGAAACCCTGTCTCTACTAAAAATAAAAAATTAGCCGGGTGTGGTGGTGCACACCTGTAATCCCAGCTACTCAGGGAGGCTGGGGTAGGAGAATCGCTTGAGCCTGGGAGGCAGAGGTTGCAGTGAGCCGAAATCACGCCACTGCACTCCAGTCTGGGGGACAGAGTGAGACCCTATATCCAAAAAAAAAACCTAAGTCAGATAATGTCACTCCTCTGCTCAAAGTCTCCTGAGGACTTGGCAACTCCTCGGGGTCAAAGTCAAGTTGTTACCATGACCTGCATTGTCTTGCCCCTCTTCCTTACACCTCATCATGTTCCCTTTATCCATGGCCTCCTCAGGCTGCTTCACACTCCAAGGACTAGGGGTTTGCTGCTTGGAAAGCATTTCCCTCCACTATGCAGATTTCCATGTGTATAAGTAGAAAACTCAAATAAGCAAAAAAGGACCAGAAGACCACCTATCATCTTACTTCACGATAAAAGCGAAAGCATCGTTGCTTTAAGTCATTCGTGGATACATTGCTGTGTGCTCACCAGGACCCACACGTGTGCTCTTGCCTTTTAAAGGCATCTGTACTCTACGCTGACTTTTTTGTCATCTTTTTTCATGTAACAATGTGATATGCGTTTTAATGCCAGTAAATTAGTTCTCCAAAACAGTTCTTGAGGCTGCATAGAATATTGGTTGAGAAGATAGATACACCATAATTTACGTGACCAGGCTCTATATTACTGTAAACAGTTCTGCAGTGAATCTCTTTGTTCCTGAATCTTTGCATGTATCTCAAAGATAATGTCCTGGAATTTTATTTTCTGGATCAAGCATTGTGGTTTTTTAAAAGTTTTTGATTTGTGCTGTCCTTCAGAAAGATACAGTTTTTTCCCTCCTAACAGTGGAATGTGCGAGTACCTTTATACCTTTTGCCTGGTCTTTTCTGAGTCATGTGCACATATAGGACAAACTTCTGTTTAAGAAATAAAACTCTATACATGAACTTTACAGGTAAAAATGGTTAAAATGGTAAATTTTGTGTTATATGCATTTTGCCACAATTAAAAGAAATAAAGCTCTGATAAATACATTTATGGTTATTTGACAAGTATTGTTTTTGGCAGTAATATGATTGTAGGTGTTAGTATGTAGTTGGTAGGAGAGAAATCTTACTATTATTGTTTTGGTCTTTACTCATTGCTGAGTTTTTCAAGATTTTTGGTAATTTTGTCATGCAGGCCAAAACACTAAGAAAACTGATCCAACAAACATTTAGACAATTCGCCAACCTTAATAGAGAAGAAAGTATTCTGAAATTCTTTGAGATCCTGTCTCCAGTCTACAGATTTGATAAGGAATGCTTCAAGTGTGCTCTTGGTGTAAGTATGGAAATGTGGGAAATAGTGGGCTAGTTTGATTTTACTTTTTCTTATCTCTTACTGTATATCTAAATTTCTGATGGAAAAAAATGCTAACTTGTCCCATTTTTTCAATGAAATGATATTTTGTCATTTTACCATGTGAAAAATAGAAAAAGAAAATAATGTGAGAATAAAATCACCTTTTTAAAAATAGCATGCCTATTTTCATAATTAGATTTTTTAAATTTTATCCCTGTGATTTGTTAATTGTTATCTAAGGGCTAGTTTACCTATTTAGATAATCATCCCAGAGAAACTCTTGGCATCAGGCATGTTGAAATAACACAGTACATCTTTGTATAGGCTTAACAGATCCTGGGTCAATTATAGATATTTAAATATTTTATCTTATTTGGTTAGATAGATTAATAGCAAACCAAACCATCCCCTGCTTTGGTCCTTTAACATATCCACGGCTCTTTATCTAAAGTATTTCTTTTTTCCTTCTGCCACCTCTGTTCTCACTTGTTTCACCTTCAAAAGTCAAGCTGGATTATTTCAGTGGAATTGGCAATCGGCCCAGAAGAAGGGATCAGTTACCTAACGGACAAGGGCTGCAATGTAAGTCTGCTCTGACCTTTCGGGAACTTGGCTTTAGACAAAGAAGAATCAAATTAAGGAAATGGGGCATTCTTTTGGAAAAGATCATTTTACAATTAAATTTTCCTATTGCACTGCATTTATTATTCAACAGAGTGGAGCACAAGTAAGATAAAGTCTAGGCGCTGTTGAAATACCTCGGAATTACTTAGTTTTGGAAGGAAAGGAATCATACAAATCTTACATGTGTTAGTGAGACCTGAATGGGGTTGTTACTGTTTATCTGGAGAAGTTTTAAATGCTAATTTTAAAAATTAAGTTCTGTATATGGTTTGGGTATATTTGTACTGACATCTTATCCTCTGAAACAGCCTCTTCAGGTTATTTCCAGGAAAAAAATATTATACATTCACAATTCTCTTGAAAGCCTTATTAGCCTTATTTACCTTGAGGAAAAAATGTCCATCAGATGGAAACTCACACTTCTACCCCAGACCTCACTTCTTTTGTTACTTTCCTAGCAGAAGGGCTGACCATTTCCTGTGTGATCCTTCTCATTCTTCCAACAAGTATTACTGAGAACCTGCTTGGTGCCAGGCAGTCTAGAGGTTTCAGATACAATAAGGAACAAAACAGAGAGAAGTCTTTTGTCTTATATAGCTTATAGTCGAGTACACAAAATAAATATGGAATACATCTGTGTCATACAACAATAAGTACTGAGATGAAAAGTAGAACAGTGTAAGGGTGGGCGCACTGGGAAGGGCATACTCCCATTCAGATGAGTGTTCAAGGAACATGATTCTAGGGGGTTCTCAGGCCTTGCACTAGTAACAGTTCTTTTCCACTTACATAGTTTAGTGATTTGAACTTTTTACTTAATTTATTCATACCTTGACCTGTACATATAATTTTCTATACATATATAAATGTGCCAAACCATGTCTCACCTGCTTTTTTCGAAGTGTACTCTGGTTTCCATTCCCACTCTGCTCACCTCCTGCCTCTACCATTTCTCTAGTCTTTTCTCTTCAGCCTTCTCTGTAACCCCCCACCCCCTGCCCATGCTTAACATGTAAGTGACTTAGTAATCTTCTATGTTTTCCCCCATATTCCTGTTTTGTTATTCAGAAAGGGGGTCATCATCAGGCACACTGTCCTACTTGGTTATTTCACTCTGTGAACCTGGTAGAAATTTTTCAAACCCCCCCCCCTTTCTTTGCCCCTTCCTCTCTGGGGGCCAGATGGGATTCTGTGAAGGGCAGTTACTTTGCTTTTAGATTTCTGCCCCAAGACAATGACGTAATAAATACTCGTTTATATGTATCTATGTGCTGCTGCTTTTTCTTCTTATGGAAGAGATGTCTGAGGATGGAAGTGCAGGGTTCATTCAAATAGTTGTAATTTTAAAAGAAGCTGTTGGATTGCTTTTTGAGAAAAGCTAGAAAACTTCATATTGTCACTGGCAGTATATGGGAGTACTATTTTCACACTCATTGGATAGCAGTTCTAATAGCTCTTTTAATTTTTCCATTTTAATAGGTGTAAAGTTTTTCTTGTAACTTTTTTGCTCACTTAGTTGTAAAGCAAGGACCTACTAACTTTAAACATGTTTTCGTGTCTTGGCCATTTCTCTTCTCACCTCTGTGAATTAACTGCTCATATCATATACTTTGCCTTTTTTACCAACACAATTGTCCTTTTAAATTAGTAAATCTCTTCACACATCAGGGATGTCAGTGTGCCTTTTTTTATGATTTTTTTCCCCCAAATCTTGTGTTGGCTGTTGACTTTAAACAGGCCAGCCTGCCTTGTCCCACACCCTAAGGATGACCACTGTCCTGACTTCTACCATCACTGATTAAATCTCATTAAATGCTGCTGTGTCAGCTGGATATTCACAGAGGAAAACAGAATACATTTTTGTGAAATTTTGTGAAAGTGGGGTTTGTTTGATACTATGTTTCAGGACTTCTTTTATACCCTTCAATAAGATCTCAATCTTTTTCATATAGGTCTTCCATATTAAACAAATTCATAAGTATTTCACAGTTTGGGGCCTTATTTTGAATGACTTTTTGGGTTTTTTTTTTTGCCACTTACAATTTAAAATTTATATTGTGAGCATAGAAGGATATTCTTGGTTATTGTATATCATATAGTCTGCAACCTTATTATTAATTAAATAGGTTTTTTATTAGAGTTTTGGATTTTATAAGTATATAATAATGTAATCAACAAAAGAATAATTTTACCTTTCACCTTACACAATTTTTTCTTTAGTCACAAGGAGCTCAAAGATCATGTTTAATAACAGGGCAGTAGACAATATTCCTATTTTGTTTTAGATTTTAATTTATCAATTAAAAGTGTGTCATTATTTGGGATTGTTTTTGTTGTTGAGTTTTAATAACATGTCTTTAATATTTTGATCTTTTGCTTAGAGTTTTCTTCATGAGTAGCTCCTGAATTTAATCGAAGACCCTTTTAGCGTCTATTGATATGATCCTTTTTTCTCTTTTAATTTATTATTATAGTAGATTATATTAATAGTTATGGTAATATTGAGCCAATTAATAATATACAATATTCTTGTAAAATATTGAGTTATATTTGTAGAATTTTTACAACTATTTGTGAGATTAATCTAGACTTTTTTATGTTAGCTTTGTAAGACGTGTTACAGTTATATTAATTTCATTAGGTGAATTGGAATCTTTTGGTGATTTTTTTTTTTAACTTTTTAAGCTCAGGTGTTCATGTGCAGGTTTGTTATATAGGTAACCTCGTGTCACACAGTTTATTGTGCAGATTATTTTTTCCAAACCCAGGTATTAATCCTAGTACCGTTGAGTTATTTTTCCCAATCCCCTCCCTGCTCTTAGCCTCCACCCTCTGGTAGGCCCCAGCGTCTGTTGTGCCCTCTGTGTGTCCTTGTGTTCTCATCTTTTAGCTTCCCTTATAAGTGGGAGCTAAAAGATGCAGTATTTAGTTTTCTATTCCTGTGTTATTTTGCTAAAGATAATGGACTCCAGGTCCATCCATGTTCCTGCAAAGGACATGATCTCATTTTTTTTTTTTTTTTGGCTGCATAATATTCCATGGTGTGCATGTACCACATTTTCTTTATCCAGTCTACCATTGATGGGCATTTAGGTTGATTCCGTGTCTTGGCTTTTGTAAATAATGCTGCATTGAATATACATATATATGTGTCTTTATAAAAGAACAATGTATATTCCTTTGGGTATATACCCAGTAATGAGATTGCTGGGTTGAATGATACTTCTGTTTTTAGGTGTTGAGGAATTGCCACACTGTCTTATTATTTTATGTATTATTGTCAGGTACGTTCCTTCAATGCCTAGTTCATTGAGGTATTTTAACATGAAGGGATGTTTAATTTTATTGAAAACCTTTTCTGCATCAGTCAAGATGATCCTGTGGTTTTTGTTTTTAGTTCTGTTTATGTGATGAATCACATTTATTGATTTGTGTATGTTGACCCAACCTTGCATCCCAGAAATAAAGCCTACTTGATCATGGTGGATTAGCTTTTTGATGTGCCACTGCTAGGTTTGGTTTGCTAGTATTTTGTTGAGGATTTTTGCATCTATGTTCATCAGTGATGTTGGCCTGACGTTTTCTATTTTTTTTGTGTCTCTGCCAGGTTTTGGTATCAGAATAATTCTGGCCTCATAGAATGAGTTATAGAGGAGTGCCTCCTTTTCGGTTTATTGGAATAGTTTTGGTAAGAATGGTACCAGCTCATCTTTAGAATTCAGCTGTGAATCCATGTGGTGCTGGGCTTTACTGGGTTGGTAGGCTATTTATTATTGATTCGATTTCAGAGCTCATTATTGATCTGTTCAGGGATTCAGTTTCTTCCTGGCTCAGTCTTGGGAGGGTTTATATGTCCAGGAATTTATCCATAGCTTCTAGATTTTCTAGTTTATGTGCCTAGAGGTCTTCCTGATATTCTCTGATAGTTATTTGTATTTCTGTGGGATTGATGGTAATATCCCCTTTATCATTTCTAGTGGGTAGCAGTCTATTTTGTTAATTTTTTAAAAAAAAAACAACTCTTGGACTCGTTTTGGTTTAGCAACAGGCAGGAATGGTTTTTCCCATCTCACTCTCCTTCAGTTCATCCTGATTTTGGTTAGTTCTTGTCTTCTTCTAGTTTTGGGTTTGATTTGCTCTTGGTTCTCTAGTTCTTTTTTTGTGATGTTGTTAAACTGAGATCTAACTTTTTGATGTGAGCATTTAGTGCTATAGATTTACCTGTTAACACTGCCTTACCTGTGTCCCAGAGATTCTGGTACATTGTCTCTTGGTTCTCATTCATTTCAAGTCACTTCTTGATTTCTGCCTTAATTTTATTATTTACCCAAAAGTCATTCGGGAGCAGGTTGTTCAATCTCCATGTAATTGTGTGGTTTTGAGCAAATTTCTTAGTCTTGATTTCTAATTTGGCTGTGCTGTGCTCTGAGAGAATGTTTATTATGATTTCAGTTCTTTTGCATTTGCTGAGTACTCCAAATTTACCTCTTCACACTGCCTTACCTGTGTCCCAGAGATTCTGGTACATTGTGTCTTGGTTCTCATTCATTTCAAAGAACTTCTTGATTTCTGCCTTAATGTCATTATTTACTCAAAAGTCATTCGGGAGCAGGTTATTCAATTTCCACGTAATGGTGTGGTTTTGAGCAAATTTCTTAGTCTTGATTTCTAATTTGGCTGTGCTGTGCTCTGAGAGAATGGTTGTTATGATTTCAGTTCTTTTGCATTTGCTGAACAGTGTTTCGTGTTCAATTATATAATTGATGTTAGAGTATGTGCCATATGGTGATGAGATGAATACGTATTTTATTGCTTTGGGGTGGAGAGTTCTGTAGATGTCTATCAGGCCCATTTGATCCAATGTTGAATTCAAATCATGAATATGTTTGTTAATTTCCTGTCTCAGTGATCTACGTAATATTGTCAGTGGGGTGTTGAAGTCTCCCACTATTATTGCC